GAGAACCACAGAGGATGTGAGACTTATCACAAGGAGGTTCGATACAGCTCACAGTCGCCAGAAGAGCTATGCGGATAAACGCCGTAGACATATAGAGTTTCGGGTAGGAGACTTAATTCCCCTGAAGGTGGCACGGATGAAAGGAGTAATGAAATTCGGTAAGAGAGGGAGACTAAGCCCAAAATACATCTGACCAGTTAAAATCCTAGAGAGGATCTGTAAGGTCGCGTACAGACTAGCTTTGCCGCTAGAAGTGGCTATGGTACGCAACGTCTTTCACGTATTGATATCGAAGAAGTATACGATAGATCCATCACATGTAATGCACCAGGAACCTATCGAAGTGCACGCAGTTCAGATCCTAGCTCGCGAGGAGAAAACCTTAAGGAATAAAGTAATTCCTCGGGTTAAAGTCTTGTAGTGAAATCATAATATTGAGGAAGCTACTTGAGAACGCGAACATAATATAAGGAAAAGCTACCCCGAGTTGTTCTAATTTTTAGGATGAAAATTCTTAAGGGGGTAGATAGTAATGACTGAGAAAATCCCAAACCTTAAATAATACAATTTACGAATTAATATCTGTATTCCTAAATTCTGTAGTAGATTTCATGTTAAGTTCATGTTTTCGATCAAGTAAATTCGATCGACAAATTCTCGCCGTACTTTAAGGTGGAATAATTTTCAGTACAAGTATAGTTCAAGAATCTTAATTCTAAGAATCTACAAACACAACATGATGTTAGCAGCGTACAAAAAAAAATGCACTGACATTTTAAAGAAGAGAAAATCCTTAATTACCAGACAGAAGGGTACAATGTGAGCTCGGGAGTTGACACCATCAGAAACAACGTCATTCTCAGGATAGAATGCAGAAAAGTTAAATTTAGAATTTGTTCAGTCTAGAATTAATTTCAAGACTTTAAACAGTTCAAGATATTACGCGAGTAAGAATTTAATGTGATCTCAAAGTAGTCGAGGATTTAACATTGAACTGTAAATAAGCAGTAGGAAAGGAACGGTCAGAAACTAGAATTCATGTCGGCTAAGTACTTCCTTACAGTCAGTATGATTTTTATCTGACTCAAAAAAAACTAAGAGAGTGGACAAAAGTACAAGGGGTAGGATTTATTTTTCTCTCTCCTTCTCCACTTTGGCCGGCCATGAATAGCAAATTAGAGCCAAAACTTAGCTAGTTGAGTGTGCAAGTGGATGGCATGGTAAGGTGATGGGATAGTAGTGGTTGAAGGGGAAATCATGGTAAAATTGATTCTTCTTTTCTCCATACACAACCGGCCAAAATTGGGGGATTTGAACCAAAAATTTGGTTGAATAATGGAGTGGAATTGGAGTTAAATGATGATCACAAAGTTGGCTATAAAAGGAACCAACATATGATAGGTCTCATTTTTTTTCCTCCTTGCTTTTCTCTCCACCTCCAAATCCGGCCACACCCCTTCACTCCCTCTCAAATATTTTCTTCCACTCTCCCAATCTTGAGCCACTAGCAAACCATAGAAGAAGAAGAAGGAGATCAAGGGATTCTAGGAGGAGACTAGTCAAGCATTCCTCTAAGGGTAAAAAAAACTCTAAATCCTCTCTTTTTCATGTTTTGGTAAAGTTTAAAATGTAGAGATATTCCTCTCAAACTTCCTTATACTTTCTAGTTCCAAGCCATTAACAAATCTTAGAGGAGTTCAAAGGTTTTTCAAGAGAGAGAAAGAGTTCTTCAAGAGTAAGTTCTTGAACTCTTCTCCATTAACTTCTAGCCAACTTTAAGCTTGGATTTATGGATGTAAATTTGTGATTTTTAAGGAAGATAAGTTGTAATAAGGGTGTGTGAGTTTTATGTTGGTTTTATGTGCCTTGAGGTTAGTTGATGTGGTATGCTTATGTTTGATTTATGTTGCTTAGTTTGGGTTGAAGGAAAAAATTTTCGGTTAATTTGAATGCAAAAACGATGACCCTAGAGTGAGATTTTTTGATGTTTCAAAGTTTGAACTTATAGATCTCGATGTTTTGAACGTTTTCTATGACTATGAGAAAACCCAATTTTAACTCTAAAAGCAAGTTTGAGGCCAGTTTGTAAAAATGGACAGGCTGTCCAACACAGTTTCAGAAAAGAAAAAAAGGGGATTGCTACAGCAATCCTATGGCATTTTAAAAGAAGAATTGCTGCAGCAATCCTGCAGCATTTTAAAAAGATTGCTCCAGCATTATTAAAAGATTGCTACAGCAATCCGATAGCCTTTTTAAAAGATTGCTACAGCAATCCTACAGCATTTTAAAAGATTGATGCAGCATTCCCACAGCAAAAGAAAAAAAAACAGCAGCCACTGTTTTTAACCAAACGAGGCCTTTAAAAGATGAATTTCAACTTTCTCTAAACATGAGTATTTTAGATCTCAATGAGACGAAGAATTGTCATGAAAAACAAATTTTCAAAATCCGACCCTATGATGCAGTAAAATACAGATTTCAGAAACTACACAGTTTTAACGAAACAAAACTAACATAGAGTTGGTTTTAATAAAAAGTTATCAAAGAACCCGAGATGTGATTTCAGTAAAATACTATGGTGTTAAACCTCGTTTTAACGGAAGTATTCATAAAGAAAGTTTTCAAGAAAAAAATGCTTTCTTTTAAAGAACTTAGTGGTTTATCGAGCAAACCACCCCGGCGTGCACTTCCGAGCCAATACGATAGGTCCTTAGAATTTTGAAGGTTTGATGTGGGTCCAATGCCCGCATTAATTTAAGAGACTCTGTTAGAGTATAAATTTCAGCGGCATAAGAGTTAGAATGCCATGTATAAGTTCTAGGCCGAATTGGGCCTTAATATCATAATAAGCCCAATAAGGAAAATTATGGAGAATAAGTTACTAGATTGGGTAAATGATTTTCAATCTAGACATAAGTACGTTAAGGGCAATTAAGGAAAATAAGATTTTGAGAATTTAATAAATTGATCCTTATAGTAAATTATCCTTCAGTAAATGAAAGGAATACATTCCTAAAGTAAACGGCTAGATTTCCTTCATAAGTTGCTAAAATAGAATAGCAAATGACAGATAATCTCACACTCTCAATGGGTGTTCATTTCAGAAGTAAGCAAGTAAGAGAATAGGCTGTTTGGCGAAGAGTGGATTCCAGCTCTGTAAATCAGGTAAGTAGGAATCTCGCCTACAGTATGAATAGATTTTAAAGAAAAAGTTACACATGTTATATATGCATGTTTATGCTTTAAGTATTATATGCGATGTTATGTCATGCTGCATACACTTACGCAGTGCACATAAATTATATGTGTTTGAGTACATTTCATGTTATAGTATGCTATGTTATGTCATATTGCATACACCTTAATAAGTCAAGAAGAACTTATAAGAATAATCTAAGTTGAGTGCCGTACTAGCCTCCGACTCAAAGGAGGTAACTCAAGCTCCGACTCAAGGGAGAAAAGAAAAAATAATAATAATGTCCTCCGACTCAAGGGAGGCATTCAAGTTATAATCACAGTGTCGTGGGGGACCTTGCAAACCCTCACGTCCCGATGATTGCGCACAAGCGGAACGCGAGCACTCAGGCCCACAAGAAAGAAAGAAAAGATAAGATAAGATAATAAGACTATGATAAGACATCATAATTAAGCATAATCAGCTCATGCATATTTATTCATGTGTACTTACAGTTATTTTGCGATAGATGATTCCTACTTGCTGAGTGAAAGCTCAATCAGATATGTTCATGCTGTAGGTAAGAAACCTGTCAGCAATTCTTGAAGGGCAATGGCGAGCGGCGGACGAATGGTGGAGATGAGAATGGATACCACTCACACTTAAATCTTCCACAGTAAGTTAAAGTAAAATCATGTATATGTATATATGATTCAAAGGTTTCAAGCACGTATAAAAAATATCTAACAATTTAGTTAATAGTTGGAGTAGAAAAATGTATTAAAAAAAAATAGAGAGAGTTAATCATAAGTTATTTTAGTTAAAAATAGGAAATAGTTAATATATTAAAGATGTTCTTTTGTTGGTTTCTTATCACTGTTAGCCCATGAACATTGGACATTATGACAATTTAGTCCCTTGACTTTTAATTTTAGTATATTATTTGCTGCCCTTTCATTTATTTATTTATCTTCACTTTCATTTATTTATTTATTTATTTATTTATTGGAGTTTTAATCTTTGCACTATAATTTACCAATGATTTCTAAAATCTAACAGTGCTAATGTGTGTGTTGCGTTAACTTAAAATTGTATAAAAATATAGTTACGTTATGTGCAAAATGTTCGATTCAGTTATGTTGAAATCCATTGAGAATTAGAACATTTTGCAATTTACATCATTTTTAGATAAACAATTCAATTATTTTGAGATGCGAGTAGAATTATTTATATATCCTTGTCAATTTTAATGTCAAAGATCAAAATTTTGAAAAATAAAAATTTCCGCACTAATTTTCGTAAATTAAAAGTTCAAAAATCAGAGTGTCACAGTGCTCAAAGTTTAGGATCTAATAGCGTTAATAATCCTAAATTAAATGCAATAATTAATAGTATACTTTTGCAACAATTAAAAATCAAAGGTGTAGCTCGTGAATTACTTTAAAGTGGAGGGTTATATTGAAAAACCCAATATATAAAATAAATGAAGAATAAGATAAGACTTAGAAGGTCAAGGGACGTACGGATTCACCTTTCGGAGGAGCTGCTAAGGTAATATCATCTGACCAAACAAACATAATAAAATAAATTTATCCTGACGCTACATAATACTACATAGTACATGGTACATATTATAAAAACATTAACGAAATTATTCCTAGTCTAGTGGCTCTCTTTGCTTTTTTCATTGTCTGCTTCGTAAAGTAAAGAAAATTCTCACTCTTTAAACTTTACTTTTCTCTCTCTAGCTGCTACAAAACTTTGTTGCTAAGAAACCCATTTCCATTTTCTTCTCATCTCTCTTTCAAAAGGGTTGTGAGGGTGTACGGATATTCACAAGTAAGAAGAGGATCAAGCTGTTTGTGTAGTGTGATATGATGAGAGTTATTGTGTAAGGAAGAGAAGAAGAAATATGGAGAAAGGAGAAGCTTCACACAAGAAGAAGAAAACTGCCGCTGACCGCTTTACTGATATTGTGTTTTCTTGGTCTCTGGAAGACGTCTTCAATGAAAATCTTTTCAAGGACAAGGTTCTCTCTCTCTCTCTCTCTCTCTCTAGCTATTAGTTCGTTCTTTGTAGTTTACATTTCTCATCATGTGGTAGTCATGATCAGTACTAGGTTTGTTTCGTTTTATTTTGTGGCGCTTTTTTTTTAAAATGAACATTTCTCTTAGTCCGACAGCTATTGAAACTGTTATTTTTTTTTTCTTTCATCCAAATAATGTAAAAGAAAAACCATTATGTTGGGCTCCTCTTTTTGTTTAAAACATAGTTTTACATAGTATTTCACAAAGATCGATTTTTTTTTCTTCATCCAAATAATGTCAAAGAAAAACATAGTTTTACATAGTATAACATTTTTGTCGCTTGATACAAGAACAGTTGCTACTTTCTTCGCTGAGAAAAACCCATAACGGTAATATTAGTTTTTTAAGGTTTCCATACATACGAGACTATTAGCTTTTTCAAAACGCTAGTGAGATTGTGTAGTCATATGTCCGCCTAGTAATTGGTAAATACATCAAGTCAATTTCGAGAACTATATATATATATATATATAGGGAGGAATTGTCCCCAATTCGGTATCAGATTAGAACGACACATGTATATTTCTTCTAAAAATATGTATATTTCTTCTTCGGCACATGTATATATTTTTTTAAAACATGTATAATGTAAGAAGACATCTATAATTTGTCTAAACACCTATATAGATGTTTTTAGAGGAAATATACATGTGTCGAAAAGGAAATATATATTTTAAAAAAAAATATACACGTGCCGCTCTAATCCGGTACCGGATTGGAGACTTTACCCATATTATATATGTGTGTGTGTGTGTGTGTGTGTGGAATGTTGTATTGGATTCGTACGTAGTTGAAAATCAGTTTTGATGTCTAGTGTCTTAAAAATATTTTTGATGTTTAATTTTCAGTTTTATAACCACGTAAAAGGATTTTCGTACACATTAAACCACAAACAACACTAATTAGATAAGAAAATACTTAAAGTGAGCGTACACGATTTACGTATGCATACCAAGTGTAGACTAAAGTTAGATATGAAAAGGCTTTTATGGTTGCCATGATTGTTATGGTTCCGGATGCAAATCAAGTTTTCAAATGCATGATTTTCCTATTATTTTGTGGTGTATTTGAATGAAGTAGATTTTGAGGTTTAAAATGGTATTGACTGAAATAAATGATGTTTGATCATTATAGTCATGAAAATAGGGTAAGAGGTTTTAGTTCGTTTATCATTAAACAGTTAGAAGTTCAAAGGTTTCTATTTTAGCAAAAACACAGCTTTTCCTTAGGTGCATTTCAAAACTTCTTTTGATGCATTTTGGGGCTCATAGACTCGCTGTTCGACTGAACTCGTTGACTCCGCACTCTATTTACCATATTACAAACTTCAAATTATCATTCATGAACTAACAATGTTCCTTTTGTAGGTGGAAAAGATTCCAGAATCGTTTCGATCGGTTAGGCAGTACTTCGCTTCTTATGTCAACCCTTTATTGGAAGAAACTCGAGCCGAGTTGCATTCAAGTATGGAAACGCTATATAGAGCACCATTTGCTGAGGTTATCTCTTTTGAAGAAGCTAAACCATATGGGACAAAAGTATATCAAGTTAAAGTTAATTACTGGAGAAGCAAGTTCAACAATGGCCGCGGCAAGGAACCTTACAAAACTTTGCCCGGCGATATCCTTGTTTTGGCACATTGTAAACCAGAAACTGTTTCTGATTTACAAAGCTTAGGAAAGTCGTGGGCCTTTCTGTCACTCATTGATATCAGAGGGGATGGTGGTACTAATTTCAAGGTCAAGGCATCAAAAGAGTTTGAAAACAACGTTAAGACGAAGAGTCCGTTGTATGTCATTTTCTTGGTGAATGTAATCCCCCAGAAAAGGATATGGGAAGCATTGCATATGTTCAGCAATCTGCAGATAATAACTGAAACTCTGTGCAACAATTCTGCGGTAAGCCTGTCAATGACAAATTTTCACACTTTTCTCTTCTTTTAGAATTTGATTTACCAACATGGATTCTTTACATACAACTGCAAATTATTCATCTTTTTTCTAATTAATGAGCAATCATGGTCATAAGTTAAAAGAATTGCAAAGACTAGGTAGCCACTCGCAGTTTCTTTCCGACTCTCTCAGTTAACTTTCTAAATACCTTTTGTTTCAAAAAGTTTCGTGCCCCACATATTTCATATAATTTCCGAAACAGATCAAATAATGGGGCATTCAGGGTTGAACTATTATTACCGTGTTCGCATTTCTTGGACTTTGAAAATCTCAATTCTGCATAACAGGTTAAGAAAAAGTGTGATGGCCGTTGCAAGAAAAATAATGGCGTCGGGGATGAGAAGATGGTGAAGAGTTTATCTTCCGAACTCAATGAGTCCCAGACAGGAGCAGTTGTTTCCTGTCTTCATATGATGCAGTGCAAGAAGAAATCTGCCGTGGAACTTATATGGGGTCCACCAGGGACGGGAAAAACTAAAACTACTAGTACTCTTCTCGTTACCCTCTTGAGAAGGAACTATAAAATCCTCATTTGTGCTCCCACAAATGTTGCAATTACTGAACTGGCTTCTCGGGTCCTGAAGATGGTATTGGATGCGCAGTCTGACGACTTGTTTTGTTCATTGGGAGATATTCTTCTCTTTGGTATCAAGGAGAGGCTCAACATTGGTTCAGATATGGAAGAAATATACTTGGATTATCGAGTCGAACAGCTCGCGGAGTGCTTTGGACCACTCGGTTGGAATTATTGTTTCACTAACATGATAAATTTTCTCACATATTGTGTTTCTGAGTACCATATTATCTTGGAAAATGAGTTAACTGAAGGAGAACAAGGCGGTGAAAGTAGCATTGAGAAGGGAAGTGTGAGTAAGAGTGAAGTTGCCAAGAAAAAATTCAAGTCATTTCTAGAATTTGGGAGAGCGAGATTTGGTTTTAACTTCTTGGAGCTCAAAAGATGCATCTCTAATATCTGCAAACATACAACAAAAAGTTACATTCTGAAAAAAAAATTTAAAAGCATGGTGTCCCTTATGGGCTTACTTGATTCTTTCCAATCATTGTTGTCTCAACCTGATGTAGTCTCTGAAGAACTGGAAGAGCTCTTTTCTCATTCAGAAGTAGTTGGAGAGCTTCCTCATTCATCTGGAGAGAAACCGTCTTTCTTGCTGTTTCAGAAGAGAAACGAATGTCTCTCTCTTTTGAGAACTCTTCGCGGTTCCCTCGCAGAACTTGATATGTCAAGTTTTAAGAGCCGAAAAGCAATTAAGAAATTCTGTTTTGATAGAGCTTCATTAATATTCTGTACTGTGTCGTGTTCTTTTAAGCTGCATAATATGGAAATTAAGCCAACCATTTTGGTTATTGATGAAGCTGCACAGTTGAAAGAGTGCGAATCAACAATACCTCTTCAACTTCCAGGTCTCAAGCATGCCGTTCTTGTTGGTGATGAATGGCAATTACCAGCAACTGTTAAAAGCAAAGTATGTTTGATCATTTCATTAATTTCTTTACACTTGTGCAGTAAATTTTTACGCTTTCTTTTCTTTGGTTAGTGATTCAAATCTTATTTTTCTAAAAATAGGTTTCTGAGGACGCTGGATTTGGAAGAAGTTTGTTTGAGAGGTTGAGCTCACAAAATCATCCGAGGCACCTCCTGAGTGTGCAATACAGAATGCATCCATCCATAAGTATTTTCCCAAATTCAGAATTCTATCATAACCAGATCCAGGATTCAGCTATTGTGAAAAGGGAAAGCCATGGAAAGAATTATCTTCCTAGACCAATGTTTGGTCCCTATGCTTTTATCAATATTATCGGTGGAAGAGAGGAAAAGGATGATGACGGACATAGTCGAAAAAATATGGTGGAGGTAGCTGTTATCTTGAAAATACTGCAGAACTTGTACAAAGGTATCCACACGATGTTGCTTTTTGGGTGCACTAATATGTGAAAACTACATTGCTTTTACTACTGGGAAAACAAACATTATGTCCTCATTAAGTGTTTCTTGTAGATCATTAGTCTCTTTTTCTTTGCTATGTAGAATTATGATGAAAGTTTTCAGCACATAGAGAATACAGTTGGCTAAAATGCATCCAAATTTTCTGTTTTTCGTGGTTTTTGAGATGGTGCTCTAAAGGTAAGAAATTGTGATCTCTAAAAAGATTGTGTTTCTTATTCTTTTTCCTTTTCTTTTGTGTACAGTATGGCGTAAGTCACAACATGAGCTCAGTATTGGTATAGTGTCTCCCTACGCTGCTCAAGTAGTTGCAGTTCACGGAAAACTTGGGAAGAAGTATGATAAAATTTGTGGCTTTCAAGTAAAGGTGAAAACAGTTGATGGGTTCCAGGGTGGGGAAGAAGACATAATAATAATGTCGACTGTGCGCAGTAGCGGCAGTCATTCGTTGGATTTCGTCTCCAAACCTCAGAGAACTAATGTTGCTCTTACAAGGGCAAGGTATGGCATTATGTTAAACCATGTCGAATATGTTCTTGCATGCTTTTTATAAAGTTTGGGTTTGGCAAATAACAACCGGCCCTTTTCATGTTTACAGGCACTGCCTCTGGATTTTGGGCAACGAAAAAATTTTAGCCAATAGTCAATCCGTCTGGGCGGCTATTGTCCTTGATGCAAAAAAACGCGGATGCTTCTTTAATGCCGACCATGACGGAGACTTGGCCAAGTCTATAACAGAGGTCAAGAAAGAATTTGGCCAATTTGAAGACATGCTTAATCCTGACAGTATACTTTTCAAGAGTTCTAAGTGGAAGGTATATTTTTCGGTAGTCAAATGTATATATACTGGTTTTAGTCTGTATTTACCAACTTTTAACCACTTGCAATTGCTCTTTTAGATTCAAGAGTTTTATCTAATACATTCTTTTTTTTTTAAATCCCTTTCTATCCCGAATTCTTAGGTCTTTTTCAGTGACAACTTTCTGAACTCATTCAGAAAATTGACATCAGTTGAAACAAAGAAGTCAGTTATAAACCTTCTACTTAGACTCTCTGATGGCTGGAGACCTAGGAGGCAAGTTATAGCATTTTGTGAAAGCCCTTTGCAGATAAATAGTTTTAAGGTTGTAGGTTTGAGTGTTGTCTGCACTGTCGACATAGTATCAACAGATTCGGGGCACATGCAAGTTTTGAAGATCTGGGACCTGCTGCCTCCTGAGAATATTCCGGAATTCGTAAAATGCCTAACCTGTACTTTTGAGAAGTGCACAGAAGCTTTCATCAACCTGTGCAATGAAAAATGCTTGGAAGGGTATGTTGCTTTGTGTTTGAAGTGATTCTGAGCACATGTTCCTAAAATTTAAAGCCTTCTTTATCTGGATAAGTGATCATGAATACACAAGCCGTCTTCCTTTATTGCTTTCCTAATGCTTTCTCTATTTTCGTGTTTGATTGTTTATCCTCAGAAAGATACCGAAAGTTTGGCCAACCTCTTTGGACATTGTCCGTTTCAAGCATCTTTCCATGAATGAAACTGGAAGTGATTTTGTTGGTGTTCCTGATGGTAGAGGTTATACTGAGAATTCAAGAGTTGGTGAGAGTTCACTGCCAATGAAATTCTACTCCCTGTCAAATTGTGTAGTGAATCACATGTTATCTGATCGCGATGCCAGAGAATTGGATCTTCCTTTCCAAGTATCGGACCAAGAAAAGGAGATAATCCTTTTTCATAGAAGTACATTCATTCTTGGACGGTCAGGAACGGGAAAAACTACCGTCTTAACCATGAAGTTGTTTCATAAAGAATACTTGCATCACCAGACTATGGAAGGACTTTATGGAGTCAAGAGCAATGTATTTGGACATGTTAATCAAAATAGTGTGGTTGAGAAGAACTCAGAAAAAACTAGGGGAAATGTTCTGCGCCAACTTTTTGTAACGAGTCCTAAACAATGCAATGCTGTGAAACAGCGGTTTTCCTACTTGAGAAGGTATGCAAGATATTCATGAAATGCTACTTTTAATATTAATTTAGAAGTCTTAATTTCCATCACTCATGTAGAGAAGTAGGAAAAAATTCTGACCAATAAATCTTGGACGCTTTAGGATCTACAATCTCTATCCTCAAAGTTTTGTTTAACCTATACAATCTTACTATTTAGTGTTCTAATTTTTCTTGAGTGTGGTGTTATAAATCTCAGATAAAGTTTCATTCTGTCGAAAGCCATAAAGTTAATTCTTTTCAAGTATGAATAGACACCCACTATTCAATTCTAGTGAACTCTGTAAGCTATTTCCGACTATTAGATTTGATAAATTATATTCTCTTGTGGTTATACACTAAGAATATGGTGCATAAAGATTTGATTTCCAACTCTTTTTTTTTTTTTTTGGTTCTGCAGCTTTTCTTGCAGCGGCAGCCATTCATCCGAAAGCAGTCTGATTCATATGGATGACATTGATGCTGAAGAAACTGAATCTAAGAAAATTCCTGATTCTTTTCATGGTATTCCCGCTAATCATTACCCTCTTATCATAACATTCCATCAATTCTTGATGATGCTCGATCGAACATTGGGCAACTCCTTCTTCGAAAGTTTCATTAATATGGCAGAACTTTCTAGGAGCCAAATGTGCACATCAAGATCATGCGTGCTTCAGTCGTTCATAAGAGCCAAAGAAGTCAATTTTCAGAGGTTTTGTTCACAATACTGGCCTCATTTTGACTGTCACCTGACAAAGGAGCTTGATCCTTCTGGAGTTTTTACTGAGATAATTTCTCATATCAAAGGTGGACTGAAATCCATGGAAGCAATCGATGGTAAACTTGCTAGGGAGGACTATGTTGTACTGTCAGAAGGATGTGCCTCTAGTTTGATCGGTAGGAAGAAAAGGGAGAGAATATATGATATATTTCAGATTTATGAAAATATTAAGATGGAAAAAGGTGAATTTGATTTGGCTGATTTTGTGAATGATCTCCATCGTCGACTCAAACGTGAAAGATATCAGGGTGAAGGAATGAATTTCCTATATGTTGATGAGGTGCAAGATCTTACAATGAGTCAAGTTGCTTTGTTTCGACATGTATGCAATAATGTTGAAGAAGGTTTCACTTTTTCTGGTGACACTGTTGAAACAATTGCAAGAGGTATTGATTTCAGAATCCAAGACATACGATCATTGTTCGACAAGAGCTTTGTATTGGAACCCAAAAGGGAACACAAGGAAAGGAAAGATGATGGTCGAATGACGAACATTTTCCATTTGACTCGAAATTTTCGGTCCAATGCTGGTATCCTAAAGCTGTCACAGAGCATTATTGAATTACTCTATCATTTCTTTCCTCTATCTATTGATATTATGGAACCTGGAACCACAACTGTAATCGGTGAAACTCCATTTTTGCTTGAATCCCGGAGCAATGAAAGTCCAGCCTTCACCCTCTTTGGAAAGAGTGAGAACACAAGTAGAAATGTTATCAGTTTCGGCGCACAGCAGGTGATTTTGGTAAGAGATGAAAGCGCTAGACAGAAAATAAAGGACTATGTTGGGAAACAAGCTCTTATCTTAACCATAATGGAATGCAAGGACCTGGAGTTTCAGGTGACTGCTATAGTTGATCTTTAGACAGTATTTTACTTTTATATTAAACATGTTATTTCCAATGAGGGTTTTTGATTTTCTAGTCTGGTGATATCTTTTATTCCACTCTTCTTCTGCCACTTCCTATGTTTGCGCCGACCGTAACAATGTATTTTTCGCAGGATGTATTATTGTACAACTTTTTTGGATCATCCCCTCTGGGAAAACGGTGGAGAGCCATATATAATTATATGAAAGAGCAAGATTTGTTTGATGATATGTCACGTAGTTTTCCACTTTTTGATGAGTCCAAACATAGCATTTTATTGTCCGAGCTGAAGCAATTATATGTTGCTGTTGCAAGCACAAAGCGGAGGTTGTGGATTTGTGATAACACAGAACTATCCAAACCTATGTTTGACTATTGGAAGAAGAAGCTTCTTGTACAAGTAAGGGTACTCGATAATTCTCTTGCACAGGCGATGCAAGTTACAAGCAGTCCCGAGGAGTGGAGATCACAGGGCCTCGAGGTTTGCTTTTCTTTTTCTTTCCTCTTCAGCAACAAGAATAATGATTCTAAGATTATGGCCACAATATGTTTACTCCTAGCATAATTGCGTAATTTAGGATTTATTAGGAGTAAGATCTTTAAATAGACTTTTAGAAACTGCATTTTTACTGTGTACCTTAATGATTATTATTGAGTATACAGATTTCCTATCAATTGTTCTCTCTTCTTCCTATATTCTTCTTCTCTCTCTTTCTTTAATCTATGTTAAGTCATACACCACATTATGTTTTGATCACTCCTTCCCACCTTAAGCAACATGTACCATAGTTTTAAACAACGCAAACTTATCAAAAATTCAATCTGCTTGTCTACAGTTGTATTATAAGGACAGCTATGAAATGGCCACAATATGCTTTGAAAAAGCTGGTGATGCATTTTGGGAAAGCAAGTCTAAAGCTGCTGGCCTTGAAGCAATGGCCGACCAAATTCGTTCTTCCAATCCCAAAGAAGCCAATTCAGCCCTCAGAGAAGCCGCCGAAATATTCAAAGCCATCGACAAGGCCGATTCCGCTGCAAGGTGTTTTTATAATGCAGGGGAGTATGAGAGAGCAGGTATAACTTTCTAACACAAACTTTTGTAGCATTTCATTGTTCAAAGCCGTTGATATTGTTTAAAATGAATCTTATTCAAACTTAAAAGTAAAATTTAGCACTCAAAATATTTAATACTTCCCTTTTAACTTCAATTCCAAGGAACAAAAAAAAAAAAAAAAAAAAAAAAAATCCTCGACGTTTTAACTTAAATTGAAATTACAGAAATTTTAAGATCCAGAAATATCTTTGGGGTTAAAAATTTTCAGAAAAAATTTCACTTAAATTTCAGTAATATTGGTACATTTATCTATTTTGGTGAGATCGTAGTGTATTTTTTTGCAAAATTTAAGCAAATATTGAAAACATCCAAAAAAAATTGCAAAATTAAGCAAACATATGTATATTTTTTTTGCGTCACTTTATCAGTGTTCGATTAGCTGAATAAAAGATTTTCATCACATAAGCATGCTTGTACACTTTGCAGAAAAGCGTGTCATAGTGCCAATGTTGCTTGAATCATCATGAATCGTGTTTGAGCCTTATAGGACTTTATTTTGGTTTAGAGATTTCTATCTAATATCTATGAAGTTGTTTACGTAAAACTTGTTTATTTATATATTCTTTTCAAGGTTAATCATGTCCTAAAATAGATAGAGAAATATTAGGCTTTAAAGCAAATATCCATAGTTTCTATAAATTTTTCACGAAATTTCCAACAATATTAATATAGTTTCACCAAAACTGATATCTCCATCCATATCGATATTTCAAATTCATCATCCGTTCATGGTTTGAGATAACATTTCAGCTCTAGTATTGTGTTAAGTAACTTATCACAACTTATCCATGCAGGTCAAATTTATTTGGAAATATATGGCGACACTGAGCTGCGAAGAGCGGCGGAATGCTTTTCTCTGGCAGGTCTCTACAATCTTGCTGCTAATGTTTATGCTAGAGGCAATCTTTTCCCAGAGTGTGTGACTGTTTGTGCCAAAGGAAAATTATTTGACCTGGGTCTGGCGCACATAGAGCGCTGGAAACAACAGGATAAGAAAGAGAGTGATGTGACCAGGAAACAACCAGAAATAGAAAAAATTGAACAGGAGTTTCTGGAATGCTCTGCTCTTCACTATTATGAGGTCAAAGATCATACGTCCATGATGAAAGTTGTCAAAGGTTTTAATTCCATGAATTCGATTCGTATTTTTCTGAATTCATTGGGCTGCTTTGACGAACTTGCGACATTCGAAGAAAAATCAGGAAATTTTGTGGAAGCTGCAGAAATTGCAAAGCTGAAAGGAGATGAACTACTTGCGGCAGATCTTCTTGGAAAGGCTGGTAAATACAAAGAAGCAGCTACTCTACTTCTTTCCTATGTACTTGCCAACTCACTCTGGTCGTCTGGTAAAAACGGCTGGCCCTTAAAGCTGTTTAAAAAAAAGGATAATCTTCTAATGAAGACCAAGTTATTTGCCAAGAATGAGACGGAAAGCTTTTACGAGTTTGTATGCACAGAGGCTGACATTTTGGAAAACAAGAAGAGTGACTTGTTGATGAAAAAATGTCAATTGAATGCTTCCAGGAGACACAAGAGTCTTGGAGGTGAAATCTTATCTGCTCGAAAAATTCTGGACGATCATCTTGCGTCGATGTTCATGCAGTATCTCTGTGAGGAGGATTCGGTGCTTGATCTTGAGAAGCATTCTGAAGACGTGATATCTGAAAACCAAGTCTCAGTTGAATCACTGGTCTATTTCTGGAAGTTTTGGAAAGAGAAGGTTGTGGGTATTTTTGAATATCTTGAACGTCTAGAGACCGAGGATGTTTGTGACTTCAGAAGCTATGGAGAATTTTGTTTGAGCTTCTTGGGTGTTCAGAGGCAGTTCCATGACCAAAATATAATCTACATCTTGCTCAACCCTGATGCTGATTGGGCGAGAAATGTGGAGAAAAGATGTGTTTGCAGTGATGGAACGTTGGTTTCTATCGATGTTTGCCAGTTTGTTTCTGCTGCTCAGATTTACTGGTGTTCGGAAGTACTCTCGGTTGGCTTCAAGGTACTACACAAGCTAGGAGACCTCTACAGCATCGTGACCGAGAATTCTGATATCATTTTCAGGAAATGCAGGAATCTTACCCTAATCTATGAGGTTGTGGGTTCTCTTTTAGACTCCAAATTCCTAAAGATGTCGTGTCAAGAATCAGAGGATCTCCAGAAATTTATTAGACTATCAACTGATGAATTTTGCAGCCACATATTCCCTTTAGATTGGAGGAAATCATTGATGGAGAACCTTACTCTCTTCAGAGAAACTGACTTTTGTAAGAATTTTCTGAGGCAAGTCCTAATTGAATACACCAACCCGAGGAATAATCTTTCAGGGAAAATTGGAAGTATAGTCATGGTTATTCTCGGGTCTGGCAAGCTCAATGCTGAGCTGCTCGAGAGGATTTTCGAGAGTATGGGCCGGAATCCACGGTGGACGGCATTCTTTGAGATTCTATCCAGGTCTAGAGGATCATACTTTCCAAGTCAGTCTCTGATCAGTAGATTTCATGAAGCTTTGGAAGATGCATACAATGCTAATTACAGGGTAGAGTTTAACTGTATATCCCCCGGAAGTTTCTTGTATCTAGTTGATCGCCTTCTGATTTGGGCATCTTCCCATCAAGGTTACGTGGTTACTACAAAGGCATCCTTTGTTGAATGGCTTATCCACCAAGAAATACATGCCAATAATACCTGGTCAAGATCCAATGCATCGGTAGATTTCCAACTGTCCCTTCTAGCCGTCCTTAAGTTTGTGATCAGTGTCATCAAAACATGCCTCTGCAATAAGGGATATCTGATTAAATGGATCAGGAGATATACCTCAAGGGAGAACGAGTACTACTCGATACTCGTGTCTAGGATGGTTGTGATAATATGCTTGCTTCATGCGAATTTCAATATGTGTTTGGATCTACTTTTTGATTTGCTAGGGAGGAGCTACATCACTGAACAACTGCCATGGGAATTTTCTGATGCCCTTAAGTCACATATTTTAAGCTTGAATCTAAATGTGCTTGCTGAAGCATTTCAAAAGATTGATAACTCGTTGGTGATTGTGACTTTTGGGGCAGATTATACAAAGCATTCATTTCCAAGTGCTATAGTTGTTGATATGGGGGTACACCATTCCAAAAGTGACATAATGAGACAACTCTTCTCGAAAAGCGGTGAAGCTTCAGAAGGTGTAAGCCGAGCTGCTACAGTCGAAGCAAGCTATTCTCCCAGAGAAACAGTTTCTACAGGCAGTTCTGCTGCAGGAAAGAAGAGTTCTGATATTCTGCATTCTGACTTTGAGTTGGCAGCAGAGCAGGTCGATCACACTCAGGACAAGCATGAAAGTAACTTGTTAATGGATTACGTGTGCTTTTGGGAAATATTTGAAGGGATAAACTCTCAAGAAAATGGAAGAGATGAAAGAAACTTCACATCAAGTGCTCAAACAATCAAGGTAGCCTACATTTGTTTCACATGAGATTTTAAATCAAACAAAAAATTAAACGAGCGTTGAAAATGATTTTTCCTCATTGTCTACCATCATTTTTAGGTGGAAGTGGAGAAATATATCCGCCTTTTAACCGCTGCAATGAATGGAAATCTTCCAAAAAATCTTGGCTATGAAGAAAAAACCTCACGCGGGGATGTGGTCAACATGGTATACGAATTGAAACACCTTTCAGCTGCATTGAATGCAAGGTCAGTTTATAGACTTCTTTCCCTGCTGGGATTAGCTTTATAGAATTGCTTTTCTTCGAAATCTCAACTCTGCTCCAACTCAAAGAGGGGGAAGGAGTATTATAATTGTTTTTTCATGAATAAGTAATATGTTTCATTTTTCCCTTTCCTCTTTCCCCACTGGGTACCAACTTCAACTTTTTCTCTTTCCCTGTCTCCCTTTATTCCCTTATTAGGAACATGCCTCTAGTGAAAGAACTTTCTAAGAAGTTGCAATTGAAAAGGCCGAGAATGGAGCATGTGTTGGGTCAGCTATTTCACCAGCATAAAACAGATGAGGAAAATACGACAGCGAAGGAGGCTGTTTCATCAAGTCATCAATGTGAAAAGAAAGATATCAGCGCCACGCCTGAGAAGATTAGCGAGTCTGACAAGGGCAAGTCGAAGGTTTCTCAAGCTAGCACTGTTCTGGAAAACAAAGCGGAAGTTGCAGCACCGAAACCAAAGGATAGCTGTCACATTCTCTAATGTGGGGAACCAATTATGGAAGCTGCCTTCTCTTTTGACAAGTGTTAGAGAGGTTACTAATGCTCTAAATATGAGAATCCAGGTCTATAAGCCTCTAAGAAACTCCTGAAATATCAATATTTATTGTAAATGAACATTAAGTTTACTTGGTTTGTTTTGAAGTCTAAAAATCACAATCTTCCAGCTAAAAGTAATACATTGAAACGAATTCTGTGTGTTGAAAGTCTGTAATTCAAGAATCCCCAGCAGTAACCATTTCTGCATACAGGGGCATATATATTTATGTTATTAAACAGACAAAATTAAAGCTATCACTATTCTTTTTATTTCTAACAATTTCTCATAGAAAAATGCAAACTATGTTGCAAGACTGGTCCTTTCTTATCATTTCAAACTCTGAAAAAGACTAACCAAATAGGCAGCCTCGAATCTCCAGAGATTCAGATTCAATTCTCATCGGTCCCGAATAGCTTCATCCTCGATAATGGACTCCGCAAGTAGCCTTCCACTTCGAACTTATTCGGAGAAAGCTCGCGGTATTTCCCGAACTGCTCTCGCGCCTCCGCATTCCTATCCAACAAGCTGTAGATCATCCCCCGACAGAAATACGGCCGGAAATCGGTCGGGTCCTCCTTGGTCAACTCCTGGTAGATCCTCAAAGCCTCCTCCACGTTCTTCTGCAAGAACTGTATCTGCGCCATAATCAACTTCACATCCCGAGCTTCCTTCGCCTTGTTCTCATCCTCTGCAATCCTCAGAGCCTCCTCCAACCGCCCGATCACCGCCTGTCCTTCGCCGTTCCGGTCCATCAGCAAAGCGTTCTCAAACAGCGCCTCGAACGACAGAGGATTCGCGGCGAGAATTTCTTCAAACACCTGGCGTGCACTCTGAATTTCACCACTTTCAGCCAGCAGCCTCGCCATCAGAAACTTCCACTCGTTCTCGGCCGGCTGCGCCGCGACCAGCCGCTTCAATATCGTCAACGCCTCGTCGTCCTCGCCGCCCTCGAGCTTCTGCTGCAGAAGCGACTTCAGGGCTTCAATGGCTTCCGAATTCGACTCCAAAAACTCCGAAAGCGGAGACGACGACGATTCGGCACCTCCGTCTTGGGCTTGGTCTTGTTCGACGATGGTTACCGGAATTTCGGCTCTGGCGGGCAAGTGGGTCGATTTGAGGACGACCATGGAAGCAGTAGCGCCGAAGAGAATGGCGGTTTTGGCGAAGCGTGTGAGTGTTTGGGTGATGGGAATTGTGGGTTTGTTGTCGTTAGATGGGACATGGATTGAGGAAGCTTTGATTCGGAGATGGGAAGAAGAAGAAGAAGAAGAAGGGACTAGTGGTTTGAGTTTTGTGGAGTTGAAAAGAAAGAGAGACGATAAGGAAGAAGAGGATGAATATGATAATGTGGTCAACATGGAGATGCTCATGATGATGATGATGATGATGATGATGGACAAGTGCTTAGTTGGAGAGTAGAGGCAAGAAATGGGGGCGGAGATGCTTAGGAGGAGAAAGAGGATGTGGGTTTAGTTTTAGTTCAGGAAGCCACAGAACAGTTTTGGGGTTCTGAGAGGTTTTTAAAGCTAAAAAACGTTCGTTGCTTTAGAATTTAAGTTTTGTTACAGTAAGGGTTCATTTGGTACGATAATTTAAATTAGAGTGACTCTAATCATGATTATAAAATTAGAATCATGATTTATAATTTTAGATTCAAATCATGATTCTAAAATCATGAATCAGAATTAAGGATTTGAATTACCTTGAATTAAGATGGGGTGGTTTTAAAATCACGATTTGAGCTAGTTTAAAACATCACATCAAATTTTAAATCACAATTCAGAATCATCTAAATTAAACACTGATTCTGAATTTAAGTTTTGTTACAGTAAGGGTTCATTTAGTACGAGAATTTAAATTAGAGTAACTCTAATCATGATTATAGAATCAGAATCATGATTCATGATTTTAGATTCAAATCATGATTCTAAAATCATGAATCAGAATTAAGGATTTGAATTACTTTAAATTAAGATGGGGTGGTTTTAAAATCACGATTTGAGCTAGTTTAAAACATCACATCAAATTCTAAATCACAATTCAGAATCATCTAAATTAGACACTGATTCTGAATTTAAGTTTTATTACAGTAAGGGTTCATTTAGTACGAAAATTTAAATTAGAGTAACTCTAATCATGATTATAGAATCATAATCATGATTCATGATTTTAGATTCAAATCATGATTCTAAAATCATGATTCAGAATTAAGGATTTGAATTACCTTAAATTAAGATGGGGTGGTTTTAGAATCACGATTTGAGCTAGTTTAAAACATCACATCAATTCAGAATCACGATTCAGAATCAGCCAAACCAAACACTGATTTTGAATCATGATTCAGAATCATAATTCAGAATTACTGTAAACAAATATTGATTCTGAATCAGGATTATGAATCCATCTACCAAACACACCATAAAAAGCTCTCAGAAATAATCACATTTAACCATTTTGTTACAGTAAAAAGTTCTCACATAAAGTCACATCTCAACTCGAATTAAAAACTCGAATCAGCGAACTAAACAGGCCTAACGAGTTTCGAAAGGCCTAGTCATTTTGTAGATTCAAGTTTTTAATTCGAATTGAGATTCGAGTTTTTAATTCGAATTGATATGTGACATTTTTTTAGAACTTTTAATTGTAGTAAAAAAAAGTTAGATGTAACATTTTCTAAAAAATTTTAACAATAAAAACTTACAACTGAAAATTCGAATCGGTAAAATGAATAAGGCCGAAGAAAAAATAAATTACTTAACAAAGTTTATTTGTGAGCCTAATGTATCAATAATATCAGTTTTTCACAGTTGAATTAGATTAAAAAATACATAAAAATAAAAATAAAAAAAATTACAATAGATAATTTTTAATATAAATTTCACTATTAAAAATAAAAAAATACTAATAATTTTTTTTAATCATATTAGAGAAACTCTCGTAAATTAACGTAGATGGGGATAAGAAAAAAATGTTGAAATTATTCCATTAAAAAAAATGTGTTGAAATTGTGATTGGATTTGGAGAAGTACTTTTTTTCTTTTTCCTTTTTAGAAAAGTTATAAATATAACTTTTTGATCAGATGGAAAGTATCCTGCCCTAAACACTCCAGTTTATAAAATAGGATCCTCTCATTTTTTATGACAACCGCGACAAGTGTATGGTAATTTCTATGATTTTCACGTTTAAAATTTATAAATATATTGTTTAAAAGTGCATGTTATGGTTTTTTTTTTCTTTTTGAAAGGTACAGGACTTATTGTTTTGTGTTATTTAAGTTATGACTTAAATTGTGTATGTAAGAGAAAAATATTATAATAAAAAAGTTAAATTTAAATTGTTGAGAGAAAACACTATAGTAATATGACTTGAATCTTAAAATGAACATATTTATAGTATTTTATTTAGATTATGTTTGGTAGGAGAGATAGAAAAAGATGGATGGAAAGAGAGATAAAATCTCTTGTTTGGTAAGGAGAAGAAAAAAGAGAAAGAAACTCTCTCATGCACTTTGCCACGCTATTCTAAAATTATCAGCTTAGAGTTTTCATTCAATCTTTTTCTCTCTCTCTTCTCGTTTCTCCCACACACTTTGGCTGGCAAATGGAGATGAGGCACGAAAAAACACTGCGACAAGCTCGTCTACACTTGGCTGGCCGCTGTTGCGATGAGCTTGTCAGCATCATGTGTCAAAGATCTACATCTTGTGGGCATAGAGGAGTAGAGCATCTAGAAGATCAAAGGCTCCGTTTATTTCACCGATTCGAATTTAAAATTTGAATTTTGTTACAGTAAAAAACTCTCATAAACAGTTATATTTAATTTTTTTATTACAGTAAAAAACTCTCATATAGAGTCACATCTCAACTCGAATTACTCACACTCAATTTCATTACAAAGATTTTAGAAAGAATGCCTTATTTTTGGTCGCAAAATCTTGGTCACCAAAAGCCGGTGGCAAAATATTTTGGCGACTAAAAACACTTTGGCTTTAGAGATTTTGCAACCAAATTTTGACAGCAAATTTAAGCTCTTGGTCGCAAAAAAATGAGATCATGCATGTTGTTTCATGACCAAATTTTACGAGTGGAACTTTTTGGTCGCAAAAAGGTAAGAATTTGCTACTAAAGTCTTTGTTGTAAAACGTTTTAACTACCAAATATTTTAGAAGCATAAATCTTTCTCTGCTAAATATTTCGATCGTTGAAATTCTTTAGTCGCCTATACGCAAGAATCATATTAAAATCTCACATTAGCTGGAGATATTGACATAATCTACTCAATAAGGTGAGAGTAATCCTTCCTTAACAGGTCATTTTTGTTAGGTTGAGTTCGGCCCAATATCCTTTGATTTCTGTAAAATGGTATCAGAGCAGGCACAATTTTACAATGTTAGGTCCCCTAATATCGACTTATTCACAGCGGTTTAGCATGGTCCACGCTATGCGTGAGGAGGCGTATTAGAATCTCACATTAATTAGAGATATTGGCATGGTCCACTTAATAAGGTGAGGGCAATCCTTCCCTAACAAGCCGGTTTTGTTAGATTAAGTTATGCCCAATATCCTTTGATTTCTGTAAAAAAATCATGATACAAAACTTTTGGTCAAAAAAGCAGATTGGGTGCTTAATTTAGCGGAGGACATGCCGGGTTAAGGTGACCTTTGTGCTTAGATTTAAAGAGCATGTGCAACTAAAGACTCTCATTAACCATTGATGTAAAAGGAGTAGTAGTAAATTGGTGCTTAAAAAAAATGAAATTCTGCAACAAATAAAAAACGACATTACACAAGAAAGAAGATAAAACCGATATATTTTTCATATGTTTGTCAAAAGACTACATGGATACATTTTTTGAGAGACTTCAATGTTCCAAAATGATGTGGATCTTTCCTCAAATTTCTGGAAATTTCTTGAGAAAATCATAAAAAACAGCTTCAAATTTAAATAATTGATATTTTCATAAATATCGATAAAGTATATCCTTGATTCTACAAAAGTATTCACCCAAATCATGCATTTATGTTATGCGTGTACATGAGCTAAGGAGAAGACTAGGAGATTTATATATAATGACTCCAAAAACTTGATGATCATTTTGGTTCTAATTGAAAATAATTATTTGTGATGCATTTGTCAAACTTTTTCTCAAAACACAAAGAAAATTCTCTATGATACTCCATTAACACCTTTAATTTTCTTTTATGTTTTAGTTCCTTTTTGCATTCTTTACTAGACTTCCATATGCACCTGGTGATTGACGTCACCAACTTGCCTAGCTTCATCTGAGGAGGATGAGAATCTGCATTGACAATATCTTCCAAAAACATACTTGATAACATTATCACTAAAATTAATCCTTTTACATAATTTTTGCCCATCTCCTTCTTTCTTCTTTCTCTTTCTTCTTTCCATTTGTGCAAATTATTATCAAAAGACAAACATCTTTATATATTCCTCAATCTCATCGCACTTTCATTTATTATTCGTTCATTGTTTTGGTTTTTATACAAACAAGAAAAAGATGTTAACATTACCATACAACGAAATGTAAACTTTGATTAAAATGAAAGGTTGCTCTACTTTGTTCCAGTTTTTATGAATTAATTAAGTAAACTTGGTGAAACTTTTGCACATTAACGAGTCAAGTTGAGCCATTAATTAAAGAATATATCCTATATGAGTGGCGAGTGATTATTGAGGTATTTAATAAGTTGAAAATATATTTTAAATTATATTTTTGAAGTTCAATGATCGTGAATGTTAAAATAATATGACTTCAGTTTGAGGAAAGATCATTTGTTAAAAGAATAGATTATTGAACTTACTATATCTTACCACATTAATATCAATAATTCGAATAATGATGTGGTTTTTAAAAATGAAAGAAGAAAATAAAAAGAAAAAGAGAAAACAATATTAACGTAGTTCAATAATGTGCTTATATTTATAGATTATAAAAATTGAGAGAATTACAAGTTACAATGACAGTATCATGTAAATTACATAAATAATCTAGAGATTATCGTAAAATTAGATAAATATAACCAAAGACAAAATAATAATGAACGTGACAATATATGAAATATTAACTTTTCCTAATAGTTATTTGTTTGAAAGCGATGAAGCGAAAACATAGAGTCACAATCGACAGAATACTTGCAGCCCCATTTGAATGGTGGTTAGTGATGAAGAAGTAGATTAGAATTTTGAATTAAACATTATACAGTTATTTATTTAGATATATACTCGCTTCAATATTTAGTTTACAATTAGGATTATTTAAAATTAAGTTATGTTTATCTTTTTTTCTATCAATATTTCAGTGATTGTAATTCTTAAACCGAGTGGATGATTGTTAATAAATACTTAATTAGTTTCAATAATTTCTCCTACTAAGTTCTGTGGCTTTCTTTCTTTTATGTTTTTTTTTTTTTTTATCTAAATTCTCTCAAAAACAAGATATTTAAAAAATAAAATTGCGTGATTGATGAATACTC